GGGTGAAGGCTGTCACAAGCCCCAACAAAGGTCCCGTTGTGTGCCACAAGAAGACCCCATGTCGGCGGAACCCTCCAACTACAGATGGGAAAAAGCACCTGTTATTCGCAGCCTCAAAGTCTTTCAGGGTCCCGCTACCCTTAGAATCATTGCTCTCTATATATATATACATACATGCTATATGGCTGTGGCTCAAAGCATGTACCAAAATGGCACCTTGGCAAATGAAACCAAAGACTAAAACCTACCTAACCCCAGCTGTTTAATGTTGACCCACGCCATATGTGTATTTGCGATTTGTCCTCTTGCAATCAAACACACACACACTGGAAAAAAACAGGGGGGGTGAGCATATATATATATATATATTATATCTATATATATTAGCATATGTATATATATATATATATATTATATATATATATATATGTATATATATATGGTATAAATATATGGTATATATGGTATATATGCTATATATGCTATATATGCTATATATGCTATATATGCTATATATGCTATATATGCTATACATGCTATATATGCATTTGCGAGTTGTGTGTCAAAATCGGAGGGCCCCAAAAGCTCAAAAGCTCGTGCATTTTCCCCTTTGAAACTCAAAGGCTATGGCCCGGGCGCTGAGGCAGGCGATGGGCCCGGACCAGTCCACCGTCACCTCGCGTCTGGGGCCAGCCGGGGGGGCAGTTGGGGCCGGGGGTTTCGAGGTCCCGTGAAAGCGGGGGGGGGGGTGAGGCGGGGGGGCGGGACCTGAAAACATCAGGAGATGCGGTGTTTAAAGTACTTTCAAGCCCACTCCTGTTAGCTTTATGGGGGTAATGTGGGGGTAAACTAGTAAGTAGTATGTTGCCCGTGATACCTACGCAAGTTGCGATGGTCAGGCTATGCGTTTGACCGGGGATTTTTGTTTGGCTTGCTGCGACGGAAAGCGGCCTAGAATCACACGCGAAAACCGCTGGGCAGCCAGGCTTGCCATGACCCTGAAGTCGATTGGGGAGCCATCTCAAAAGTTCAAAAGTGGTCGGTGGACCAACCAAAATCCCCGCCGCCACAAGGGTCCAAATTTGACAGTGGACGGTTGCGAAATCCTTGTCGCACCGACGTTCAGAAGACTTCCCCTGTAAGTTCCAACAAACCATGAAACAAATCCATGGTTTCAAAGTGGTGCAGTATTTCGTCCATACACCAGGATGCCTCTTGCCAGATAATGCTGACCCAGGATTAATAAACCCCCCCCCTATTAAAGCGCCTGGTTTTCCTTGCAAATCCCTCGCCAATACTCGTTTTAATTGAAACCCAGGAATCTGCCCTGGCACCCCCACAATAAGGAAAAAAAATCCCCCGAACCCCCCCCCCCCTATTAAAGCTCCCTCCCCCAAACCCCCCGCTACATCATGCGTTTTTAATCTAATTTTAACTTGCCCAACTTTTGCACATGCAACAGAAGCACCCCCCCCATTAGTAAAGCCAGCACCCCCCTGTTAATCTACCATGTTTGATGCCCTGCTCTTGCACCCCCCCCATAAGTAAAGCCAGCACCCCCTATTAATCTACCATGGCTGATGCCCTGCTTTTGCACACCAGCTCCTTTTTTACTTGCAACAGCATCACCTGACCTTCCCACAAGGTTCCCTCACCTGACCTTCCCACAAGGCCCCACCTGACCTTCCCACAAGGTCCTGACCTTCCCACAAGGTTCCCTCACCCGACCTTCCCACAAGGTCCCTCACCTACCTTCCCACAAGGTTCCCTCACCTGACCTTCCCACAAGGTCCTGACCTTCCCACAAGGTTCCCTCACCTGACCTTCCCACAAGGTTCCCTCACCTGACCTTCCCACAAGGTTCCCCTTCCCACTATTGGGGGGGGGCCCTCAAAAAAATGACAGACCTGACCTTGTGACCTTGAAGGGGGGGGGGGAGGGGGGGCGGGTTTATTAATCCGGGGTATGCATTAGTATCACAGCGTTGACATGAAGGTGCCAAAGGTCTTCATGGCATCCATCCTCACGCGATGTGAGTCGAATCTGACCCTTGAGCCAGGCATCTCATGTTGCGGTTGGTCTTGTGTGGAAGCAACTTGAGATTACCCGAAATCTGTGATGCCAAAGTGCCCATCCCTATTGCATTGTCACACTTGTGGAGCCGCTTGGTATCACAGAAAGTAACCCTAAAGCCCGATTTGTGTGTCTGTGTGTTGGGACTTCCCACTGCTGGGTTCCCTTCCTCACGTCTGATCGAGATTGGCCAGGAAAAGAGGCCAAACTCTCTGTTTGCCAGTAGAACGGTCCAAACCCCAAAAGTGACTACCTCCATTTGCTCAAGTCCCCTGAAGAAAAAATAAAATATTTCCAGTAGTGATAGATTCCCTTTAAAACCAACAGGGAAAAATAACAAATACCCTTAACCAAATGGAAGGCAAAAGTCCGACACGGAGCTCATGAAGTGAGCTTCGCTTACCCTTTTTAGACCGATCCAAAAAGCGCACTTTGTCAAAACAACGCACACCCATGTCCCACAACCTCCGCGGCTCACCTCCTTCACGTCCGTCACGGAGTGGTGCAACTGGCGCAAGAGTGGCTTCGTGTAGGTGGGCTCATGAAAATGGTTGTATCTGGCGATGAATGTTGTTGGGGAACTGTCAAACCCTTGGTATGGTAGCAACAAAAACTGTATGTTTTGCAACGCCCTACTAAAAAGTTAAAACAGAACCAAAAAAAAGCTAAAAACATGCTGCGGCGATAGTGAAGGGAACCTCAAAAGTGGATTATAGGCATAAACTAGATGTCCACCAAACGGTCACTAACTTACAACGCATGCCCATTTCATGGTGAAATACTCTGGCTTTGTCTCAACAAACAGCAGAACCCAAAACAAATGACGGGTCTCCTTTTGGTTTGCCTTTAACACCACAAAAAGGAGGCCCCTCAAAAAGTAACACACCCGCCGCTTTTCCCAAAGCTCAGATTTGTTCTGGGACCATTCGGAGATCTGGGCATGTAGCTCACGCTTGCGGGCTCAGCATACCCGTGTTCAGAATCCATGTAAGACAACACGAACATGAAACCGTTTGCCGGTTGGGCGGGTCTGGGCAAGGGTGGTTTCGCAGCCTTTGGCAAGGCCTGGGGTCTGAGAATCACAGGGTATGTTGCACCTTCACAAGCAAACTCACTCCCGATCGAGTTGGTTAGCCAAAAAAGGGCTCCAAAATGTTTTTTGTTTGTTTTTTTTCGCCGCTAGAATGGTCCAAACCCCAAAAAGTAGCTAAAGTACGAAACAGACTCGGGAAGACCAACGACCCAACCACCAACCAACCAACCCAACCACCCAACCACCCAACCACCCAACCACCCAACCACCCAACCACACCGCCCAACCACCCAACCAACCAAGCACCCGACCAACCACCCAAAACCAACCACCCAAGCCAACCACCCTAGCACCCGACCAACCACCCAAGCCCAACCACCCAAGCCAACGACCCTAGCACCCGACCAACCACCCAAAACCAACCACCAAAGCCAACCACCCACTCAACCAGAAGGTGACCACCTCCAGAAGCGACCGGCTCGCCAACAAGAAAATCCGCACCTCGCAGGTGCGCGAGGAGGTCGTCCAAATGTCCACCGTGACCTTTGCGCGCCAAACGGCTACACAGCGAGCGATCTGGGTCAGGTCACACGACCCAACAAGCAGCGCCCTTGTTAGTTTCCCTCTGAGGCAAGGTTTGAAAAGGGTACCCTCAAAAACAAAACATATGTGTATACATATATATATATATATATCTATATATATATAAGCACATCTATATATATATATACACACACACACATGGTGCGTTTGTATCTCTGGAGGGTCGGAGAATGATGCTCTGCCAGGTGATGGGCCAACGGCTCAGCTCAAAAGTTGATCTGCTCTTGGCCCACCTGAGGTACACATGAAATAACACCCGGGGGAAACAGCCGTAGCTTCGGGCCTGATCCGATTTCTTTTTGGCCCAGGTGGTATCTCCAACAGCCCCGGAGCCCTCAGAAAACCCTCCGGAACCTCAGCTGTTCAGTGACCCTGGCAACAAAAAAGGGAACCCTTTTTGGGGCTTGGACCATCTTTAGTGGGAAAAAGCCACCAAAAAAAGGGGGAAAAAGCTGGTGCCACTGAACGACTGAGAACATGTTCCGACGCTGTTCCAGATCTTGCTGGTGCGATAGGCAGGGAATGAGAAATGGAAGGACCCCTAGAAACCATCCGTCACGGTTTCCTTTAAGGGAATCCCCAGCTTCATTCCCTCATCCTTACTGAGCACCAGCAAGAAATTCTGTCTACCCAAAACAGAAAGCATGTCTGCCATTTGCTTCAGCCCCCTGGAAGAAATATAAATATGTCCAGTAGTGATAGTTCCCTTTAAAACTAAGAGAAAAAAAAAACTGAAGCAAGTGGAAGATGTGGGTGTGTTATTTTAAGTACCGCGCCACGCGACATGCGCTTCTCCTTTTTTCTTTTTGCGCAGCTAGCACAGCCAAAGGTGAGGACTCCCTGGTCAATGGTAAGACACACTTGTGTCAAGATGTTTTTCTTTCTTTAGGAAACACACTTTTATTCAAGGAAATTCAAACAAACAGGTACAACAACTCAGCGTCCCTAGTTGGTGGTTTGGATTGGTGTTTTGGCAGTTTGGGTGTGGTTTTCCCCAGTTGCCCTCTACAAGAACCAGGGCTTCAAATCCCCAAACCACCAACTGCGGGGAACAACCACTCAAGGTCCCCAAGCTCCGGGAAACTCTCGCACTTCTGCACCTGAGTACACGGCGTTCCGCCATGGGAATCTGTTGCGCAGCTAAGCAAACAATTCTCGCACAACAGGGATCCTTACATTATACACCTGAACATTGCCTTGTAAATGGTGGTGTCCCTCTATTTTGCTGGAAAAAGCCGTGTTTCAAATGGGCAACATGTATCTTTTAAGGAGCCCTGCACAAATGCGAGCGTTAAGGCGGTTGATTGGCCTTACAAATCCTTGGGATGCTTATAGTCCTCAGGATTCTCCAGCGCGAAGACGAACTCAATCTGCTTCTCGTGATAGATTTCCTGTAACCCGTGAGAACTCTCAATGCAAGAAACATCAAGGCCGACCAAGTGAAAAAGGGTGTTTTTTTTAGGGGTCCCCAACAAATGGCGGTATTCCTTTTGATGTCCTTTTAAACCAACCCAAAAGGGCTACCCTTTTGGAAGATAATCCCAAAACACACACACAATCCACCAACTGTCAAAGGCGTAAGCTCATTTATCCTGCAAATAAAGTTCAGAAGTTGGACGTGAGCGCCCGTTCACCCATTGACTTTGGGTTCCACTAAAATGGGTATACAGGCGCTACTATAAAGGAGACGCCAAAAACACTGGAGACTGCCACGCACATCCAGGTGGGGATCTGTCGGGAGTTAGGAGGCTTGGGTGGCTGGAACTGCAACCAGAGTGCAGGGGTTGACTTCTTCGGGCACGACGTGGCGACCGTTGCAAGGAACGGCTTTAACAACATGAGTTGGAAGTCTCTTGAGGAAACCCCGTTTTTTGGGTTGGTTTTAAGAGACACCTCTTCTTTCTAGGGGTTGATTCCCCATTCGGTTCAACCATCGTTCTTTTCAAAATTCGGATCCGTTTTTCCTCGGATTCCGGAGGTTTTCTAGAAAGAAGGATCCCTGGCAAGAATGGAAATGGAAGGTACCCGTAGATTCTTTGCTGGTTTTACAAGGAAACCAAAAGAAACACCACCATTTGTTGGGCCCGGATTCTATGTGCCAGAATCAGAGTCCTTTTGGTCATGGTCGTGGCTCCCTTAGGAGCCCTCCAGCTTTGACCAGTTGCCACGGGCATGCGAATCAGACCAAAATCAGCAAAAGCTGGCAAACAAATGCAAAAACATATCAGCAAACATGAGCAACAATCAACAAAAAGTCAGCGAAACATCAGCAAAAAAGATCAGCCAAGCGTCCACTGGGCAGCACATAGGTGCATCGCCTTGGATGTCTCAAGCACCAAGCACCTTTCGACAGTTTGACGCGTCGTTGGTGAGGAAACACTTTTACGGAGCTTGCAAGAGACAAGGGAAAATCAGAGGGAACCACTCATTTTGGGGGTCCTAATCAAAACAAACCCATTTGAGGAAATACGAGCGACCTCCATACGAAGCATCTCCACAAGGGAAAAGACTCAACAGGAAGCTCAAAATGCAAACCTAATCCAAGTCTTGTTATTGTGTTGGGGCATCCAATGGACTGTCCTCAGACCCCCTGCTAACAACCTAACTTTCAGTGAGTTAAATTGATAAAAGCCGGAGAAAAAAAAGGGGGGAGAAAAAAGGAAAAAAATGGGAAAAAAACAGAAAAACAAAAACAGGCTGGGAACCACCACGCATAAAAGCTCAGACCACTAGAATCATCTTTGAGAGCGCCCGGCTGGGTCAAAATTATGACCCATCTGTTTAAAGTCCTGGGTGTGTGTTGACCTTATCCCTCTTCATCTCTTTTGGATCTCGCACACCAGGCGCAGTTCTCCAGCCCCCTTGCTTTTCACATGCTCAGCCCACTCCCTCGGGTGTCCCTTTAGGGCGACCAGGGTAAAATTGGTTCTACAAACTTGTCGGTGGGGCGACTCGCAACCGCAACCGCCTATGGCCAACAGGGATTTCCGGCGCTGCTCAAATAGACTCTCAACGATGGTGTCCTGTTAGGCGAAATAGATGGATTTCCCTGGTGGAGGATTAAACCACCAGATAAACCAGGAATCGCCATCTATTTTTCTACCAAAACAGCTAAAAGGGACACCTATGAGCCAGGAGCACGGCACATCTAAGATGAATTTCCAGGACGTAAACTGAAGTGAAGATACGCAACACTATGTGGAAGGGCTGTGGGAAATGAGCGCTTCTGTGATACATAACCCCCCATATAAAGGGGGGAAATTCCCTTGTATCACAGAAGTGTGGATAAACCCGTTGATCCCACATCCATGCTATGTAGCGTGTTGTTGGCTCACTTGCGAAATGGCAGGGGCATTGTGTTCTTTGATCATCACCCAGCCAAAACGAAACTCTCTGCTTGAAAACAGCCAAAGAGGTGATGTTGAAAACCACCCGTTTGTGTTCCCCGTTTCCCCCCTACGGTGTGGTTGGAGGTGTTGGAAGCCATCTTGCTGAAGATGCCAGGGCTCTGGGGAAGGATGGATCGCGCTGGGCTGCAGGGTACACCTGCAGGCTGACTTAGGGTGAAAGCAGAAGACTCATGTTGACCCCATACTGTGGATGGACGAAATCCGCTTCTCGCACCACTTTGAAACCATGGGAAACCATTGTCTGTTGGTATTTACCGGGGAATCATCATTCCAGGGTTTCTTAGGTGGTGCAGGATTTTGTCCATTCACAGCATCAATGAACTCGGCTTATTCTTAGTATGGGGGTGTCCCTGGATTTACTGGGGAATCATCACTTTTGGAAGGGAACACCCCCATATGGGATATGGACCGGAGATGTTTGTCCATGTTTCCTCTTACCAGGGTTCCATTTTGGGTACCTATGTTTGACCCACAGCCATATTAATGAACTCTGCGAATCATTATTCTGGGGGTGTCCCTGGATTTAGTGGAGACTCATCACTTTTGGAAGGGAACACCCCCCCTATTAAAAACATGGGGTTGATTCATAACACACACACACACACACACACTCTACTAATAAACTCGGGTTGATTCATATGGAGCCAACATTAAACCAACATCGGGAGGAATCTTCCATCTACTGCCCAAATGTAACCATCTTGACTGGGCTCCCAGATCTGCCAAACAGTTTAACTTGTGGCCCTTCTAAAGTTCATGGAAATTAAATGTAAGACCCATCGAACCGGATGGCTGGGACTCCAAGTCAAACAACTCAACCATGCATCAACTCGCTCGGGTGAGTGGATTGGAGGTCCCAACTGTTTGTTTACCACGGTCCAGACCCAACAAGTCTGAAGTACTCGGGGAATCTATTTCGCTTGGGGGTGTCCTTTGTTGGCGATACCCTTTTTTGGGGGTTGGTGTAAGGGGAAAACTGGGGGAAAACGAGCCATTTTAGGGGTACCCCTATTTTGAGACAAACCCATTTCACCTTTTCTCATGGTTCGAACAAGATCCGATGGTTCCCGTTCCACTCGCGGGCGACGGGCCCGTTCGAGAAACGGTTGATGCCCAAATATAAAGCAATGCAGCACAAGGGGAAAAAGCAAACCCTATGGCTATGCTATCCTGCTTGCCAGTTGGGATAAAAAGACTGGGGATGGAAAAACTGGTTGATAGACACCACCAACTGGCTTGACTGGGTGGTACACCTGTGACTTTATCTACCAGGTGTTAAGCCCGCGGTATGAGTGGTTTACTGTTTTAACAAACCCAGAACAACTGTTGTTTCATCCGCGCACAGTACGATTGACATGAACCGCTCGTGGTCGGCCTACTTGTCCAGCTGCTTCGCTTCAAGCGACTCGAAAACGCCTTGGAGTTGGTACTAGTACCCGTTTCGGGGTGCCCTGAAACTAAAGGGAAAACCACCAATGTGCGTGTGTCGTGTTTTAGGAACCAGACCCCAAAATGGCTTCGGTGGTTCAGTTGGTTTCCGGTGACACGTAAAACCCACTCCCAAAAGGGTTCCCTTTGAACAAAACACACCCATTTTGGGAGGACAGTTTTTTTCAAGGAACACCCTGGCCAATCAGGTTCATTGACATTGCCGTCCATCACTTAAAGACGGAAGCGCAAGTGACACCCTTGTGAACAGAACATGTCGCGCTTGCCCCAAGTTGAGGCCGGAAAATGTCGCGCATGTCAGGCTTCGTCCACGCCGTCTTTGTAAAACAAAGGTAGCCGGACTGGTGCCTCGCCACTTACGGGGTGTGTCTTTCTTTAGGGAACCACCAAACACGTTGGGTCTTCCTTTAGCTTCCCTTTTAATCAACACCAAAAAGGGACCCACAAAACAAGACGGCCCCAGGATGGTAACCAAAGCATTGGACTTACCGGGGAAAACTAGACAACCCGCTGTCTGATGGTATGCCACCTATGAAAAGGGCGACCGGGAAAAATGAGCAAGCGCTACCTTCTCGAGTTGCCACGGTAGCTTTGAGAGGAAACTCATCTTCCGGGCATCCTCCCACAGGTGCCTTCTGTTATAATTATGGGTGTGGGTCAAAAATAGTTAGCTCAAAACGGAACCCTGGAAAAGGAAACAAGGACTACAGCCTGCGGTCCCTGGTGGTACAATTTTGACCCATACCCATATAGTGGCAGGGAGGGTATGCCGTGGTAGATAATCAGCCTTGCTTTGAGCTTTTCTCCAACTCACCTGTGAGTCTCACTTCTGACCCGCTGGAGACCTTGTCCCAAAAAAGGGTACACTGCAAAAGTGATATGTTGTGATTCTTCCAGGCATAACTTCCACGTTCTTTGCAGGGCTCCTTCTTCCACCATACACCTATAGAAAACCGATCCGGGTTTTGAAAAGGACGATGATTGAATAGAACGGTTGCAAACAACCCCTACTGTGGATGGACCGCGCCGTTCGGCAGAGTCCGCTCGTTGAAAAACATATGCACTTCCACGTTGGGAGGGTATATAACTGGGCCTGTTTTGGGGGGGGTTCTGTCTTAAAAAAAAACACGCACACAAATTGGGTCGAGATCTGGAACAGACTTCTGTGGATGGTTGCGAAATCCGTTCGCACCCACTTTGCATTCTTAGGTGCTGCGAAATGGATTTCGGGAGTTTGGGGCATCGGCGCCCTGAAAGTGGGTACCCTTTCAAATGTGAGAATGGTCCCAGTTTTTTTGGTGGCTCGTCTTTGCTTGAGGCTCGGTCCCCTCTTTGGGTTTGATTTCAAGGAAAATCAAGGGAACACGACGCATGGTGGAGGTACCCTCTTTTTACTTTTTGAGATACACCCATATGATTTTGATCCCATGTTAATCAACCCCGGTGTAATAGGGGGGACACCACTCCAAAAGTGGTCTGATTCCAACCACATGTCACCCAAATAATCGAACACCTATTAATAAGCTGGTTGCTTGAAATTCGTATGGGGTCAACAATATTCCCTTCAGCCCCCAGTTTCAGGGGCAGGGTACCTAAAAGGTGGTTAGCAACCATGGTTCCAACCCACTTGAAAGACTTCTAGCTCCATGGCCTTTGTGGATTGTAGCCATGGTTACTAACCATGGAAGTGTCCTGCCCCTTGAAGTAACTTGCCGACCGGCCAAAAAATCTCAGCTTGATCCGCCTTCATGGGCGCGATCATGAAGCTCAGCTGGCTCCGCAGCGGGAAGAAGGCGTGCAAAGCCCTGAACGGCGCCGACCAGGCGCCGTTCGCGAGCACCGAGCTGAGTGGATGGACAAAATCCATCTCGCACCACTTGGAAACCATGAAACCATAGCTTGTGTTGGTATTTAAAGAGGAATCAGTATTCCAGGGTTTCTTAAGTGGTGCGAAATGGAATTCGTCCATCCACAGTATGGCTTTCGGGAGAATTACCTCACTTCCGATCGAGTGGATTGGCCGGGAAAAGTAACCGATCTGCTTGTCTGCTAAAATGGTCTTCCCAAAAGTTTAAGGAACTCAGGGGGAGTTCAGGAAGAACGATCACGTCTGTGTCAAACTAGGGGGACCTCAAAATCATGGTGTCCTTTGGTCTCCCAAAAAAGAAAGGGTGAAAGGGTACTCCGAGAAAAGGACACGCACACGCACACACACACACTCACTCATATAGAGAGATAGATAGATTAGATAGACTAGATAGATTAGAAAGAGCAGATAGAGTACAGCGAGAAGATAGGTTAGATGTGATAGACTAGATGGATTGGATAGATTGGATAGGTCGAGTACATTAGATGGGCTGCATTGATGCTGACAATGGGAGCGAGCTGTCCAGCTGCGAGTCGAACAAGAGCCCGCGCCATATCGAGTCTAGCTCTAAGTATGAAGTCGCTCCAGCTTGCGTCTTTAGCGGTTGGAGTGTTGCCCAAAATGATAAATAGGGTGTGGCCCTAAAATGAGAGTGCAGCTTAACATTTTGTGGGAGTGACACTGCGGATGGACGAAATCCTGCAACACCTAAGAAACCCTTGCATGATTCCCCAGTAAATACCAAACACCATTGGCTGTCCATGGTTTCAAAGTGGTGTCAAGCGGATTTCGCCCATCCACAATACCAATACAAAGTCGTCCCCAAACAAGGGAAAAGACAAAAGAACATGCGTGGGGCAGCCCTCAGAACGAATTACAACGCAGAGAAGTGAAAACAAACCAACAACAAACAAATAACATATTGGACATCAACATGTCCCAGTGTTTGATTTCTGAGAAATCCTCAGATCCCCCTGCTAACAGTGAGCAACTCTTAGTGCCTTCAATTCGGAAACCCAACCACTCAACCAGCCAAAACCATCCAACAAACTAAGTTGAACACTTTTAGTGGGTTCCATTCGGAAACCCAACCACTGTAACAAGGCTAAGTTGAACACTTTTAGTGGGGTACATTCACAAACCCAACCACTGTAACAAGGCGAAGTTGAAGCGGATGGCTGGTTTGTTCCCGCCCAATCAAAGACTTCGAGGCCGGCGACCGGCCTCGCCGCCCGGATCTGCCGCTTGCCAAAGGCCAGGCCTGTACTGGCGGCGACCTGACGCGAGAGAGAGGGGAGTCCACCCGTTGAGCCAGGGGTTGGTTCCTTTTCCATTCTTTTCAACCATCGTCGCGTGTATCGCGTGTTTCCAAGAACCTGACAATTCCATGGCATGCGCAAGATGCTATTCTGACACTCTTTGATTCTAGGGACATCAAAGGAAGATGTTTGCTTTCTAGGGCTTGATTCCAACCATTCTTTTGAACCATCGTTCTTTTCAAAAAATCGGATCCGTTTTCATTGGGAGTCTTCAGGTGTTCTAGAAAGATTCGGATCCCTGGAAAGAATGGGAAAGGTAGCCCTAGAATTGACCCTACCGATGGACGAAGTCCATGCAACGCACCACCTGGGAAACTCTGGAATGGTGGTTCTCCCATAAAAAACCAAACATGGCGCCCCATGGTGTCATTTCGTGGTGCGAGAAGCGGAGATCGCAACCATCCACCGTATGGTCGTCAAGGGAACCCCACTAAAAGCACCCCAATGTTCTCAATCGGGGCCTGTTGGGGGCGAATATTGCGTGCCCACTTTGGGGGCCCCCGGACAAGCGCGGGAAAGATGGTTATAAAAGTCACAAAGCTTTATCCCAGGCCTTACGAAATAAACCACTAAAACGACCGGGTAAGTAGAACCACCTACTCCTTTTTGGTTGGTTGAGTTTAGAGGAATCGGAACCCTTCCCAAAACAAGATGAACTGGGCAACTAGGTAGAGGCCGCGCGCATTTTCCCAAATCAACCAGTTCTTGTTCCTCTACAAATCGCAGATCTGCTGGAACCCCACGTTAAACTGTAGAACGGCATGGTGTATATACTCTTAGGGACCTAATGGACGAAATCCTGCACCAACCAAGAAACCCTAGAATGATGATTCTCCTGTAAATACCAACAAACCATCCATGGTTTCAGTTCGTGGTGCGAAATGGATTTCGTCCATCCACAGGAATCCACAATATGTCTGGTCCTAGACCTGTGGTCAGGGGGAAGCACGCTGGACAACAAAAAGGGAAGGGACAAAAATCAGAGGTTGACTGTTTTTTCAGGGGCAAGGGGCACTTTTGAACCTGGTTGTAGCTTTCGGCAGAACTTGGCATCCCCTTCTGAGGGCCGAAATGGTGAGAGATCGTACACGTGGTCTGGTTCAAAACCCACAGAGGTGTATGGAATTGCTATCCAAACGGCAACTTCATCTGGGAGGTCCTTTATCTCAACGTGCGTGGAAGCAATGCTTTAATACAGGTCACCAACTCATCGGTCGTCTCTCGAACAAAGCCAGCTCACCTCCAGAGTGACAGGTCTCAAAATGGTGTCCCCGCAAATGAGAGGTTTCAAACCAACCCCTCCGGGAAGGACGGTCACCTCGGAAATCCAAGTACGTGGGTGTCCTTCTGCTTAACATTCAATGCCCCCCCATACATTGCCTCCAAGAAAGATACGACTTGCATGGACAAGGACGCATGTTCAATGGCCAAATTGGCTCGAATCTGTTGGCAGCCGGCGATCATGGCTTCAGTCACGCAGGATGCGCATGTTACGCATGTGCCACAAAGTCTTGGCGGCAGGACAAGGAGGCCATTCCGGGTTCACCTTCTCCAGCATGAGCTTCTCCAAGACGCACATGGACAAGAGCTTCTTGGAAAATCCACGAGCGGTGATGTTTCGCGCTTGTTTCAGGGACTGCTGAAAGCTAAGGAGAGGGCTGGGAACCGCCAAGAAAACGCGTTGGACAGCTTGTGGCTTTCAAACCAAGGTCGGGCCCTACAGGTCTTGGCCTTAGGTTGGGCAGATTCCCTCCGGCGACTAGGCATCTTCTTACCATTCCTTCTGGAATCCCTAAGGGGTAGGTACAAGGGGCTTGGCTTTCGGATTCCTTGAGGTTCCTTAGGATTTTTTGGGGGTTCCTCAAGGAGCCTTAGGGACCCCCCCCCCTTGGAAGCCCCCTCCCGGAATTCCATAAATTCCTTGGTCAAGCCCAAACCTAGGATGTGTTTCTTTTCCAGCGTCCTCATTTTTCGTTGAGGGCAAAGAACACGCGGTGCTCCCTTGCGTTTCAAATCCCAGAATCATCCATCCAGTCCCTGCTTGTGTACAAGCCAGGGGCAAAGATATGGGTGTGTCTTTCTTTGAGGGTAACTTTGCCTGGTTATAAAGGGTGTGAATTTATGTTGGGATTGTTTTTCTCAGTTTGTTTTATTTTGTTTTTGTTGTTTTTATTTTCGGGCCAGTAAAATGTTGTATTTTACATCATTTTCTCGTGAAATTGTACACTAGCCACGTCAACATCCCCAGCATCGTGTTCAACATCCCCCGCATGTCCAACCAACATCCCTAGCATCACCAACACATCGTAGGTAACAAAATCAAATCAAAAGGAAAACCAAATCCATTTTGGGGAGGGGGGCCCTAACAGATGGCACACCCATATATATATATATATATATATTGATAAGATGGTCCCAAACATTGACCCAGCTTCACACCAAATCCGCGCCTTCTGAAGAATCTCGTCCGCTTGCGGCGCTATCGAAACTGGCAGCCAAAAGCCCAGCAGGCTCCTGGCCGACTCGACGACCCCCACGAATGCAACCCACAAGCGTTGGCAACCAGCTTATGACATGTCTATATATGTACATACACACATGTATCTCAGCATACAGTCCATCTATCTATGCTTTTTACATCACGCCCATGAGGACAGAACAAAAACACCTGGAAATCGAAACGGTGCGCCGCTGGCTCAAACCTCCAAGTCTGCTCGAGTCTTTCTGGGCGGTACCAAGAACACTCCTTGCTTCGCCCATAAGCAAGCACGCGCCAAAAACAACACAGGGCTGTCCCAAAGAGGGGATGGTTTGTCAATGTTTGTCATAGGTACTCGTGCTTCACAATCATGATCAAAACCTGGTACTCAAGTGGACCCAAAGCCGAGTAAAGACCTTTCCAATCCTTGGTATGGTAGCAAGAAACGCTTCTTTGCAGCCTACTAGAAATAAACAGAACCAAAAAGCAAAACAACAACTTGTTCCAACCTGATTTTGAGGATGCACGTCAGAAATATGTGTAACTTTATGTGCAGACAAGGCAAACTACAAACAAGCCTAAGTGGAAGCGTGTGTAGCCCCCCCCCTCATTTTGTGGGGTGTCCAACATATTTTGACACTGCCCAAATGAGGCCTGAAGCGCCAAACTGTTGGGACCGCTTCGAAAGCCCGCAAAAGAAGCCAAGTTCCTCCCCGCCGCTGGCTGGCAATCAAGCAGGTCTGTGCTCAAACGCTATAGTCCAAATGGCAACATGCTTATGCTGGGTTCCACTTTTCGACTAACCTTTTGGACTGGGTTAGGGAAACCCAAAAAACAACGCCGAAGCAGCTTTTCCTCCCTTTGAGACATACCAATGAGACCGCCCCCAAGGCTGCCTGGCTCATCACTGCCTTTTCTCCGGCAGGCGCTTTGTTGACCCGCAGTTTCCCTTGAAAAGTTGATCAATGTACTGGCGGTGTCCATTGAAACGATCGCCACTTTTGGAGGCTCCCTGTAGGGAAATATAGGAAGCCCGGAAGCCCTTCCAATGTGTGCTCTCGTCAGCTTTGTTTAGCATGTTTGTTTCTCACACTTGCCTTTTGAATGGTGCGTATCATGGCAAATATAAAACAGATGGATATACCCGGAGTACCGACTGCAGGGTGGCTGTGAGGCTGTAGATGGCTGTAGACCCCCCTAAACTTGAACAGAACCCAAAAAGCTGAACCTAAAAACATGCCACCTAGCGATTAAAGAAAAAAACATACCAACAGCCACGAAGTTTTTTTGCTGCTTCTCCAAAAGGAGCAGCCCTTTTGGTCAGAATCGGCACTGGTCGTGGACTGCTTTGAGCCCCTGGACCAAATCTACTGCGTTGGGCACCGCCAGCGCCAGCTGCAGCACCAAAAGCCTCAGCTCTCGCTCGAAACCGAGCCGTCGGTGGAAACCGAAACCGAGCCTTCGAAGAAGACTCCAAACCGGGACCGGCGAAAAGGCGAAAAGGCGGGGGTGCCTTTCTCAAGAGCTGGTGGGCATGAATCCCCACCCAAATTGGTGGGAAGAGGAAATCCTGCAAAAGGCCCTGGCATAGGTGTCCTTTTGGGGGGAAGTAGATGGATTTCCCCCAAGGTTGGGACATCAACATGTTGCTACCAAAACAACTAAACAGGTATGCGGATGCGGGTGTGTCTTTCTTTAAGGGTCCCCCTTTTTGTGTGGAATCAAAGGGAACAAAGAGAACTTCACCAGTTTGGAGGGTTCCCCTACTGTGGATGGACGAGATCCGCGTGAGGCACCAATTTGAAACCAAAACCACAAGGTCTGTTGGTATTTACGTTGGGGAATCAAATCATTCCAGGATTTCTGAACTGGTGCGCGAAATGGATTTCGTTCATCCACAGTATCTCACTTGCCCCTGTTTGGACCCAAACAATTATTAATGGGTGAGATCACCGCTTGGGGCTAACCATGGTGAAAAACGAAAGGAACACCAAAAGGTCGATTCGCTTTGAAGAACTGAGTTGTTTAATGCAATCCAAACCACCAGTCAGTGGGGAGCTGCCAAACGGGTGTGTCCCCCCAAACATGGTGATAGTTTCCTGTTGGTATCCCTTTAAAACCCACTCCAAACGAGGCACCTCAGAAAAACAACACCCAAAATGGAGGCAAAACTAAAATAAGTGGGAAGACTCAAGTAGGAAGAGAAAACAAAACACCAGTCGGACGCGCAAAAATCGCAGCATTGCAGGTAAACATCGGGCCGGCCGTGTGTGTGTGTGTTTATTCTTTTGAGGGTACCCTTTTCAGGTTAGTTCAAAGGGAAAGGAGAACCTCTATCAGGCCCAAGTGTCGAGAAAGGAAACTCGAGCCATCAAATGGAAGATGGGTAGGAATTTAAATTGTCCCACAAATGGAGTTCAGTTTTCCGTTGGTTTTTCCTTTAAAGAAAGTTAACAAGGGTCCCTGAACCACTTTCGAAATACCCCCTTTTAGCAGGTACGGCAGGTGGTAGAAGTTCACAAACATCGGCACTTGTCACAGACTTATTGGGGAGTAAAATGAGCTAACCCATGACACAAGCAGCCATGAGGGGCATGAGGCTCAGACTTTCTTTCAGGAGTCCGTCCATATCAAACCTTTTGGCTTTCTTCAATCTGCAGAGAAAAACCCGGAAACAAGGGAGGGGGGTAAACTTTCAGTCTTGGATGTATCTTGAGAGCCCCCACGTCACGGGATTGCTTGGCCCAAAGTTCAAATCATGTTGTATAGTCACCTTACCATATGATGTATCTGAGGAGACCCCAGTCAAAGTCTGTCTCCCCTTAATCCCTTTTATCCCTTAATCCCCTTCGACCGGGCGATTGCATTTTGCTTCGTCTCCGGATAGAAAAGGAAAACCCAAAAGGCGCGATTGAAACTGACCGCAGAAGAGGTGTCGGCTTTCCTCTTATATATAGTTCTCCACTTGCGTATGTCTTTCTTTCAGAATCGGACCCCCCGAAATCATGGGGGCTGGGGGGGAGGGAGGGGAGCGGGAGGGAGCCCAAACAAGCCCTAAATAAGGCTTGATAAGGGCTTATTTGGCCCTCCCCTCCCTTCCTCGCAGCCCGCATGACAAAATGGAGTTCGGTTCTCCTTTTGGTGTCCCTTTAAACCCACAAAGAACGGGTACCAAATCACGCCCATAGGCCCATGAGCGCCATCTCACAGTGTGCTTCTATTGGCTTCCCTTCTATTGGCTTTTGGGAAATGCTGGTGCGAAATCGGTAGGGAAGGTGGGAAGGAAGCAGAAGGGGGTCCTTTAAAGGAAACCACCAGTGGGATGGTTTCATTGTAGGCATCATTCCAACTCATTCCCTGCCAAGCACCAGCAAATTTGGGCAATTCAGCGTCCTTTTTGGAAAAACAGATGGAATTCCCTGGGTAAACCAGGAATCGCCAAACCTATTCTTCAACCAAACCGACCACACCCTGGTTGGTTCTCAGGGAATGAGTTGGACTGATCCCTGCAACCCATCCATCTTTTGGTTTCCTTTCGGAAATCCCCAGCCTCCAGGTTCACTGCTATCCTTTCGGCCGGTGTCATTCCCTATCGCAACCACAAGGAACGGACTGGGACCTGCTGAAAAACCGAGAGACGCGCCCGCCCAGTTCCCCGGTTTCTTGAAGGTACCCAAAGGGTTTGCTGAGAAAAAGACGCGCCCGTTTAACCAGGGGCCTGCTTCCAGTTCCTCCCACCTCCCCCTTTTCCTGTGGCTTCCTTCAAGGAAATCCCCAAAACCGGTTTCGCAAAACCCGGAAACTCGGCCGTTCTTTACTTAAAGGGGCAGGGTACGTCAGGCAAGTGGTTAGTAACCATGGTTAATTACCCACAAAGGCCATGGTTTATAAGTCTCCAATCAGTGGGATATCTCACCATGGTTACTGAAAAAAACTTGCCTGACGTACCGAATCGATCGCCCCCTTTGAGTAATTATCTCAAATCCCGGAAGCCACCGGAAAACCGAAACCCGGTTCCTTCCCACCACCCGGAAACGTCCGTTGCCGTTCGTGGCCGAGGCGTTCCGAGGGGCGCGGCGCCCGAGGCGTACCAGGAGGCCACGGTGGCGCCGGCACGGGCCACGGCCACGGAGAAGTGCCACCAGTCCATGTCCGCCAAGGAGGCCTTGAGCACCTCACCTCAGCGGTGGCTGGGGTGGTGGGGTGGTGGTGGGGGTCACCTCACCTAAGCCAATGGAGGGGGTGGGGTGGATGGTGGGGGAGGGTGAGGGTGGGGGGTGGGGGGTGGGGGGCGAATCATCCGAATTCTGATGGCAGGGACAACAGTTGCGAGGTTGTGTTTTTCTTTCAGGAAGCCTCGCGCCAAACGCGTGTTTTGAGCAAAGTGCATTTTGGACATGGGCGGGTGGGTGGTACACTAACCTGAGTCCACCGGTTTTTTTTTCTGGGCTGTTCAGTGCGGCGGCATGTTGGCCAATCCCCGATCCACGATTTCTAGTGGAAAACCACAACAACAGGGGCCCCCGGATGGAGTGCCTTTGAACAGCCTAGTTCATTGGCACGGGAAATCAACCAGATTGATCAACTGACAGTTGAAACCCGGCAGGCTGGCCCCATGATATTACCATGATTAAAGTCAGGGATCGGTTGGGCCCCAAAATCAGTCGCATAGCATCAAGGCGGGGCTTTTTACACTTTTCTTAAAATCTGGTTGGAATGGCGAACGTGAGCTGCTAAGAAGCAATTTCGGTAGTTGGTGGTTGGTCGGTTGGTCTGGGTTGTCCTGACGCTGGACTCAACCCTGCAAAGAGGCCGGACAAAAGCCTCTGCAGTGCAAATGCTTGAAAAGCAGATCCGGGCAACGCCATATCGTTGCATTGATGGTAGACTGCATTCTACATGTTTTTTTGGTGGTCAACCAATTGTCGCGCTCGCTTAGCACGTGTGTGTGTGTGTGTTTTTTGCACTTCGGGGATAGGAGCATCAAACATTTTCACGCTCGAATGGCCAGATCCTCGCACTTCGAGTCCCTACACGATCAAAAAACTGCCTGCCTTTGGCAGTCAGGTGGGATTGGGTCGATCCGGGCCCTCTAAGGCGACCGATCCGTTCGCCGCTAGATGGCCATCCCCGCAACTTGCGCTGAAACATATATTCACCGGACATAATATGTTCAACTTCTGTCTCTTGTTTGTCGAGGTCCTCCAGTAGAGAGGTTAGAAACAGGGTGCCCTTTTTTCTGTAGTCTACTTTAGTAGGGGAACTCTCCCCAAAAAAAGAAACGGTAAAAGTTGGCACCACTGGGGGACCTAGTGGCTCAGCCTAGTTGTAGTCCACTCGATGTTTTTTGTTCGAAGAAGGAGCGCCCAGGCAAGGATGGCGAAATGTCTCGCGTCGAAGGCTAACTCAAAAAGTAGACTTGCGCCAGTCCGACGATGGCTCCCAGCACCCCGCCGAGCAAGATCAGAATCCACTCATCTTCCTCGCAGCAGAGAGTGCTTAAAGGGGCGATCGATTCGGTACGTCAGGTAAGTGGTTAGTGACCATGTCTATATAACCCACTGAACGGAGACTTAGAACCATGGTAAGCATGGTAAGGGTTATAGCCATGGTTGCTAACCACTTACCTGACGTAACCTGTCCCTTTAAGTGGGGGCCTGGAAATTGAAAAGACCCAGGGCTGGCTCGTCTTGTTTTGGGCTGGTACCCCCCCCATGTATTCTTAAAGGAAACCAAAAGAAAAACAAATATCCGTGTTGGGGGGTTCCCCAAAAAAGCGACACCCACTTGACATGTTCCTTAAGACTTGTGGTTTTCCTTTTGGTTGTCCGTTGCCCCAGTGCCCCAATTTCATTTATCTAGTAAATGGAACCATGATGAAGATCTCCGGGGGTCGAACCTCCCTCCCCCAGTTCCATGGTTCAGGGACAGCCTTTGGGAACATAGATGGGGGTCCCTGGGACATGGATGGCATAAAACCCATCCAAACCAGTGAAACCCCATCTATTTCTAACCAAAGTACACTCCAAAAGGTCGCTGTCCCAAACCGGTCGCCGGTCCCGTGCCGGCTCAGATCTTGAGATCCACTCCTGGAAGACGGGGTGCAGCAGGTTCTCAAACTCGTTGGGGGGCATGCGCTGTAGGCACTCCCGGTTCCGGTTCTCGATATCCGTGACTTGGGAGATATACTGAGATGAGACCTGCGCACGAAGCAAATGAAACATGCGGACGCTGGAACTGGGCTGTCCGCTTTCAGATCCCCTCAATGTGAATATCTTGCGGAAACCCAACCGTACTAAACCAACCACAGAGCTAAAAGTCTAAGGGGATGGCTGGGAACCATGGAGTGAAATGGTGTTTAACATGTGTGCTTCAAATAGTTTGGGAAGGCGTAAAGCCTGGAGAGTGATCCATTCAAGCGATCGCCATGTAGGGTTCCCTTCTTCACAGGGAAATGAAGGAAACACTTGAAATGTGCTTAGACATGTGCCAGACCGGTTTGAGTCTATTTTACCATTTACCAGGGTTCCATTTTGGGCCCCCATTTTTTGAGCCACGCCCATGTGTGCTCATGATGTTTGATTACCGCACCATGCTTGTGTCTCACACTTGCCTTTTGGTTGACGCGTCTCGCGAAAGATGAAAAACACATGGATTGCCATCATGTCTTACCCTTCGTCACAAACAGAAGGCACCTCACACCTGTGGGAGGGTTGTGCAGAATACTCTGACCAGGATGTTGGCTCTGAGGAGCCGGAAACGAGAGTTCCTCTTCGGCAACCCCCCCTGTCCACTTTCTGGCCTGCATGGGTAGCGGGCATATACCCGGAGTACCCACTGCAGGTTGGCTGTATATAGAGCTGTAGATGTCTAAAGCTCCTTCGGAATCGGACCCCTCCAAAATGGTCCGCAACAGCCTCAAACCCATCAAAATGGCCCGAATTCTCCTGAGCCACACTTTTCCCCAGTTTTTTAAGCACCTACTTCGACGATCTCCTTTTTCCGCATTTTCCCTTTTTCTTGCTCCCCCGGCATGCTTGTTTTGCCCCGCCCGGGTGGAAAAACAAAACACGCGTGCGAAAGGCCCGGGCGAAACGCAGTGGCGCCTTGTGGAGCTGGTGGGCGTGGTGCAGCCCGTCCAACAGCGAGGACTTCAGGTCCTCCTCCATGTCCTCGCCGCCGAGCCCCGCGCTCGAGCGGAGAAGCGGTTTCATGGCGTGGCATGCCGGAAAAGCGAAGGAAGGCGTCGTCCGCAAAGCTTTTTTTTGCGGAGGCAGGCCTTTTTTTGTGGGCGGTGCCCAGGGAAAGCCTTTTTACCTGGGAACGTCTGCAAAGCGGTTCTTGAGGTGACTGTTTAATTTTTTGTGGGCGGTTCCAAGAGAAAGCATCTTTTCAGTTGGTACTTTTGGGTTGATGGTTTTGAAAGGAATGCCTTTTCGCGGCTGCCCGGATCTTTCACTCAATCCATATGCCTGAGTGGCTAGCTAACTAGCTGGCTAGCCATGGGTATCATGTGTGTGTGGAGGTTGAAAGAGTTAGAGCCTGTCAGGGGTCACTGGATTTCGCCAAATCAAAAGTTGATACATGTCCTGCGATCGCCACTTTTGGAGGGTCCCTTTAAAGGGAAATGGCTCGGACACCCTGTCTGGAAAGACGAGTCCGGTTCGAAACGGGCGAGAAAAGGTGTTCTTCACCGGACACCAAAATGAATTGTGGCCACGGCCAACTCGGCCGCAAGAATGGCGGAAAATCTTTACAGCCCCCCTATGTCGCAAACAAGGTCTTGGTTCAGCCCTGATCCAGAATGATGGCTTTTCCGTTGGGTTTCCCTCAAAACCCACACAACACAGGTGCCGAGGTTCAATGAAATACACCTTCCCGCATAGGAACCAATACATCGGCACCTCCATCCCTTGGTATGCCTGCTGGCAAAAATAACTTTGCGTCTTTTTGTCACCCGCTTGCTAAATACTTTTTTTGTTGCTATTTGTGTGTGTGTGTGTGTCTTTTCTTGACTTTTCTTGGGGGTATCTTTTGTTTGGTGGTTTTAATGGGAAAATCAAAAGGTTTAATGGGGAAAAAAAGGAAAGCCACCCTTTTGTGGGTGCCGCCAAAAAAGACACCCTCATTTTAAAGGGGAAGCGCAAAGAAAACCCGATTGGCCCATTTTAGGACCTGGCCCGGCTCGCTCGTTCTTGTGCCGAATCCGAATATTACATGAGGGTCCAAGCACATGACCGCGCAGGTACCAGTCTAAGCGTTTCACCCCAGCCAAAGGCTTCCCCCCAGTTCGGGCGAGTCTTTTTTAGACCCCCCAGCCCGCAAAATGCATATCTCTGGTTTCCGCTCCAACAAAAAAAGAGAACCAGCCCAAAAATGGGCGTACCTTTCTTCTCCCTTTCGGAGAGGTGCTAAAAGGGAACCAAAAGACCATCATTCTTGACCATCATAGGTCCCCATGAAAAATCAACGACGCCATTCGTCGAACAGACGTCGAACAAACGTCCGCGCCTTGTAGCCCTGCTGGCCAATGGTCCACTCTGCGAACCATGTGGCTGAGGACCCAAGAGTCTCTCTAAGCACCTAGGGCAAAGACCGCAAAAGTGCTGCACGATGACTGGGGCTGTGGTTGTCAAAAATAGGGTAACCCCCAAATGGGTTGCCCAATTGTGAATGGAACCAAGGACTAAAGTATGCGGTCCATATTCTGCTGGATTGATTTTGTCCCATGATTTTGTCCAAGTACCTTTTTGAGCATAGCCCAGACCTGTGAAAGGATTTTCCCCAACAGCTGAGAGGGCTATGGGGTCGATAGAAATCGGCTTCTTCCGGTGGTTGGGACATCTTTCAGGAAGGGTTCCGGAGATTCGGTTCCCTTCGAAAGTTCCGGGGCTTTTTTTTCAGCTCAGAAGGCATGTTTCCCTTGAATCCTCTCAAGGATTCAACTGCTTGGCACTGGGCATGATGGATACCTTTGAACATCAAACCACAAAGAGGCCCAACTCGCTTCGTCTCGTCTGGTATCCGTTCCAAACCCCAGCTTTCCGCCTCAAGTCATGGGGCAGGGGGTGGAGGGAGCCCAAATAAGCCCTAAATACGCCCATATTGAGGGCTTAAGAAGGGCTTATTTGGGCTCCCCCCCTTATTCTTGAACCCCGTCTCCCCCAAACAACAACAACCCCCCCCCACCCCAATAACTCCCACTAAGGCAGCCATGACCTGGAGGGTACCTGGAAGATCGGTGTCCTCTTACCCAATGTCAGGTGCCGCTGTGGATGGACAAAAATCCCTGGCAGCATAGATGCTACTCTACAGTTGTTATTGGTCGACGGTGCTTGCGGCGATTGGATTTTAACGGATTTGGCGTATTTCCTATTTGGACTGCTCCTGCACTGGATGGATTTCGCAACCATCCACAGTATCACTCAGGGAACATGGCCCTGCTTGGAGAGAACCAGTGATTGGGTTTAAAGCTTTTGAAATTTTAGATTTTTGCAGAAGGCCCTTAAATGGATTTCGCAAGAACCGTATCCTCGTGAGGCAGCGTAGCCCCCTCCAAACCTACCTGCAACCCCCATTCTAAGGAGTAGCTTCCCCATGCTTTCCAGGAATCCTTCATTCCAGAAAACAACCAAACCCTGCAAAACAGCGATCGCTGTTTGAAACGAACAATTGAAAACAATAGAAAACAAAAAACAAAAACAAAAAACACCCAAGGAATGATTCGATTCCCCAACGCAAATCCAACAAAAACGCTATGAAAAGAATGGCCAAGGCATCAATCCCTGGAACTATCGAATCATTCAACTCACCGGGGTCCTCGGAAGCCAGCTTTTTGAGAGAGGTTAGAATAAGGGTACCCACTTGTTTTTTCCCGTAGTCTATATTAGCACCCTCCCCACAAAAATTGGCTGTTTTTTTTTTTTTTTTTCTGGAGTCTATTTTAGTAGGGGCACCCTCCCCAAAAAACAATGGCAACCTGTTTCCTTCCTGTAGTCTATTTTAGTAAGGGCACCCTCCCCAAACAAATTGGCAAACTGTTTTTTTTCCTGTAGTCTATTTTAGTAGGGGCACCCTCCCCAAAACAAAAGGGCAAACTTTTTCCCCCTGGAGTTTATTTTAGTAGGGGCACCCTCCCCCCCAAAAAAAAGGGCAAACTTTTTTCCTGGAGTCTATTTTAGTGGGGGCACCCTCCCAACCAAAAAAAGAAAAGCGGCAAAAGTTGGCACCTAGCTGGGGGACCTACCGTGGATGGACGAAATCCTGCACCACTTGGAAACCATGAGAAACCGTTGTTTGTTGGTACTCGCAGGGGAATCATCATTCCAGGGTTTCTTAGGTGGTGCGAAATGGAATTCGTCCATCCACAGTAGGAAGCCACCGGTTCAGCAAACCCATGTGGCGCCCTCTCTCGACGCCCGGATCCCATTCTCATCGCCTTGGTGGAGTGGGCGGTGTAGGCCAACTTCAGGCGCTCCCAGAGCTCCGGCTGCGTCTGCAGATAGCCTTTGTCCCACCCCGGACACTACTGTGGATGGACGAAATCTTGCACCACTTTGAAACCACGGGAAACCATGCTATGTTGGTATTTACAGGGGAATCGAATCATTCTAGAGTTTCTTGGATGGTGCAGGATTTTGTCCATCCGCAGTATGTCTTGGGCAAAAAAATGCACGGCATCTTACGTGTCCTTGCGGACTAAAAATGAAGAAAGCCCCTGGGCTTGGATTGTCGTCCTTGTTTTTTTGCAGCCGAAAAGGAAGAGAAAACCTAGAAACACCGAAGAGAACACCTGAACGTTCCAACGGTGTCTTATTTGTTCTTTCTTTTTGATAGCCTAAAAATGAACCGAACACCAAACACCACTCAACAACAAAAAACTGAAAAAAGAAAACCTAAAATCGCTATGAGCTTGGCAAAAGGCAGGGCGCCCCTGAAAAGCCGGACGATTGCAGGCGGGTTCCTCCTTGGGGTCCCTTCAAACACGGGGGGGGGGGGGGCATTCCCACCCTGTCTAACCGTATGGCTTGGCAGAAAAATGCTTGACCTTTTTCCAGCCTAAAAGTCAACATAAAACCAAAACACCGAAAACAAAAACTAAAAAGCCGATGCCAGCAGTCAAGTAGCCCACGATTTTGTTGAAGGACAGAAAGTTGTCCTCCAGATCGTCGGATCGCCGTGCCGGATGATTGATGCAACTGATATTTCTAGGTGGCAAACCCAAAAACACGTAAAAGAGACGAGAAACAAACACAGAAACGGACATGTAAGTTGGTGTGCTACTATCCAGCTTTATTTATTTCATTATGTTTCTTTCTATCTTTCTATATTTCTATCTGTGTTCATTTCTTTCTTTCTGAATTTTCTGTCTGTCTGTCTGTCTGTCCGTCTGCCTTTCTTTCTTTCTTTCTTTATTTATTTCTTTCTTTCTTTCTTTCCTTCTTTCTTTCTTTCTTTCTTTATTTCTTTTATTTCTTTCCTTCCCTCCCTCCCTCCTTCCTTCCTTCCTTCGTTCCTTCCTTCTCTTTCTCACTTTTTCTCTCGCTCTTTCTCTTTCTCTCTTTACTTCCCTCATGCGTTTTGGGTTCTTGTATGTAGCCACATTTTCGGGCTTGGCCTGTCTGTCGGCTTCGTCGCCACTTAAAACATCGCCCAGGACAGAACGCGCTGCTCAAACCCGGAGCAAGACCAGCATGAAAAAGAAAAAAGGACGGCGTTTGTTTTAAGGGCATCTTTTGCGGGTTGCATTGAACGGGACACCAACAGTAAAAGGCCTCCGTTTTGGGCTCCCCGATTTATTTGACACACCCATATGGTCGTATGGGTGTTGCTACAACTAGGGCAGACCTCAAAGCCGACAAGCAAGCGGGTTTCCTTGGCCTCTTCAAACAAATTCCCAACCTTTCCAATTCCAACCCTTGATATAGCTTGGCAAACAACGTTTACGTTTTTTGCGGCCTACGAACAAAACAGCAATGTTAGAATACTCTGCAGACTAAGATGGAAGCCCAAAACTCTTGTGGAGAGGATTCTCCTTCGGAGGAGCTGCGTTTTGGGGGTCCTTCCCTACATTTCCCGGCGGGTACACCAAAAGATCACATGGACGCTGCGTCAGGCACTGGTTTAGATTGGCTGTATTCCATTTTCCAAGGCCATGTGTTCCACAAGGTCAGGCTGTGTTTGTTCTGGCAGATCCCGCCACGAAGCCTTGGGAAACCAAAAGAAACACCGTTGCGCCATGTTGGGAGCAAAGACTAAGGCATTTGGAGACCCCAAAGCATCCGGGCTCGCAACCGTCTCGATTCGAATCCGGGACCCATCAAAATGCTTGGATCTGCAAACCCAAAATGCTGAGGCGGGTGTGTCTTTTTGGTGGGGGTACCCCTGTTTTGGTTGGCTTTAAAGGAAAACCGAAAATCCATGTTGGGCTCCCATTCCTAAAAAAACGACACACTTGTGGCAACCGCACCACCGCGCAGCGCAACCCGCGGGTTTCCTCGCTTGCTGTTGAACCCTCTGCAGAAAGCTTGCCGTTTTGCGGGTTCAAATCGAAAAACCACCTTGATTTCAACCATAAAAAGTGCAAAGTCCGAAGATCTGTTACAAGTAGCCAACACCACGAAAAGCGATCAAGCGAGGGAAACCCCACCCGCTTGCACCCCGCTTTGCGCCAGGCGGTCAGCCCTCAGCTCCTTGAGCATCTTGGAGTAGAGCACGCAGACCTCCGGCTGCCGCTTCAGAAAGAGGCCCTGGATGTCGCAGAGGTGGTACCTCGCATGTTGATTTGTTGCTCCCAGTTGGATTCACACGGGTCTTTTGTGTTGTTGGTGGTTTCTTCGGGCCCCCAAGGAATCTTGGAAATGTGATGCGACAAGAGAGAAGTCCCCCCCCGCTTTTGGACAAGAAACCAATTAATTTGTCTAGTCCTTCCTTCTTTCTAGGATCTAACCGCTCATGCCCAAATCCATTTCTACATCAAGAAATCTTGATGGTAGTAAAGGTTGATCCTCGCGATGTGTTTAACATCCACCAGAAGTGGGCCAACCCCCCCCCCCCCCAACCTTGCCAATCCATGTTCGGCTTGGATAGAGTTGCGCACAGTTCCATCTACTGTCATCCGCATGGGCGAGGTGGATGTGGGGCGTTTCGTTTGAAGGTGGGACCCCCCCCAAAGAAAAAAGAAAGCCTCGGTGTTTTCCCTTATGGTTTTCCTTTAAACCCCGCAAGCAAAAGGTACCCAAAAGAAAAGACACGCCCATATCAAAACACATTGAACACAAGAGTCACTTCGGAAGCTAATACACCAAGTTATGTGAACTTGTAAAATGACACCGAGTCTTAAAAAAAAGACCCATGTTTGCCATGGTCACAACTGATGCAAAGCCGGTCTTGGTTCTCTCTACCAACTCCGAAGAGAAAACTGGTTTAACCATGGCACGCTGTCCCAAGAATGGCATGTGCTCCCCTTTAACTGCCCGTGGTGCATCCCTATAACCACGAGGGCCATGGGGCGGGGGCCTCCCTAGAGCCAATCGCAAGGGCGTTTCGCGGCTCTTCAGCCGACTCGATCCCATCGCCAGGCTTGGCGCACAACCGAACAAAGGAACCACACCCATCTTAACCAGTTTAAGCAACTCCCAAACTGCGCTGCCCAAACTGATCCGCTGCGAAAAGTTTAACTTGTGGATTGAGCGGACACCACCGCTATACCAACTAGCAACCTAAAAAAGAACGAAGAAACCGCATGGCTGAGAACCAAGAACCAGCAAGTCCCTCGCCATAGCGCAGCTGTGGCGCTTGAAAATCTTGATCGGCACCGGGAAGGTGGGCTTGAAGACCATCAAAATGGCCAGCCAGTTGGTGACGATGCCCAGCAGGAACCCCGTCACCGGCAGGAAAATGGAACGGCCTTGGGGTGGGGGTGGGGTGGGGTGGGGTGGGGTGGGGTGGGGTGGGGTGGGGTGGGGTGGGGTGGGGTGGGGTGGGGTGGGGTGGGGTGGGGTGGGGTGGGCTGGGCTGGGCTGGGCTGGGCTGGGGTGGGGTGGGGTGGGGTGGGGTGGGGTGGGGTGGGGTGGGGTGGGGTGGGGTGGGGGGGTGGGGTGGGGTGGGGTTGGGTGGGCAACTGGGTGAGGATTTGATGCGGCACAACCAGTCTTTAGAGGAATCCCTCCAACAAAATGGGGAATTTGTGAGCCCCAACCAGTCTTTAGAGGAATCCCTCCAACCAAATGGGGGCAGACCGCCCCGAAAGCTGCCTTTGCTTCAGCAAATGATGGTAAGAAATATTGACTCTTGCTCACGAGTGTTTCTCAAAATGGCGGGCCCCCTGTTGGTTGGCCTTTATAGGGGAAACCAAAAGGCAATTTAGGGGAGTTGGTCACGTTTTCTTCGAAAGCAAGTTTGCATCATCTATGAGGCCCCAAAAATACAAAAGATGATGGCTTATGAATATATATATATATATGTTAAAACAGAGGGAACCCAGCATAGATTTTGGTTTTCCTCTTGGTTTCCCTTCAAAAACGAGGGTGAATCCTGCAAACCGCGGAAAACCGATTTCCATGCCTCCTTTTGCTCGAGCCCCCAGGAAAAAAAACAAAAAAATCCAGTAGTGATATATTCCCGTTGAACCAACCAGAAGGAAAAACACTTCTCTGAAAAAAAAGGAAGAAGACTGTGCAACCCTTGATGAGGCTAACAACTTGGTTCTTGGCAGCCTACTAGTTAAAGATATGAAGAGAACCAAAAATCCTAAACACCTCAAAACGTGCCAACGGTGAAGAAATTGGCGGTTGATCAAAAGGTCCATTACATGGGATGAATATTCGGGAACACCGGGGCCCTAGATGGAGCATATATTGATCAACCCCCAAATATTCTCAACCAAATTGGAAGAGCCTCGATCGCGCCGTCGCCATCCATCGCCCGACAAATCGCCGACCAATCGATCACCGAAATCGCCGACAATTCCCCGGCCTTTGCACCCATGGTCAAAGCTGGGGGCCCTATTTAAATGTAGTTTTTGACCCACCCAAGTGGGAGGCCTCGACCTCGCGCAAAAAGAATGCGAGCGACAAATCGCCCACCCATCCAAGTGGGAAGCCTCGACCTCGCGCAAAAAAGAATGCGAGCGACAAATCGCCCACCCATCCAAGTGGGAAGCCTCGACCTCGCGCAAAAAAGAATGCGAGCGACAAATCGCCCACCCATCCAAGTGGGAAGCCTCGACCTCGCGCAAAAAAGAATGCGAGCGACAAATCGCCCACCCATCCAAGTGGGAAGCCTCGACCTCGCGCAAAAAAGAATGCGAGCGACAAATCGCCCACCCATCCAAGTGGGAAGCCTCGACCTCGCGCAAAAAAGAATGCGAGCGACAAATCGCCCACCCATCCAAGTGGGAAGCCTCGACCTCGCGCAAAAAAGAAAGTGGGAAGCCTCGACCTCGCGCAAAAAAGAATGCGAGCGACAAATCGCCCACCCATCCAAGTGGGAAGCCTCGACCTCGCGCAAAAAAGAATGCGAGCGACAAATCGCCCACCCATCCAAGTGGGAAGCCTCGACCTCGCGCAAAAAAGAATGCGAGCGACAAATCGCCCACCCATCCAAGTGGGAAGCCTCGACCTCGCGCAAAAAAGAATGCGAGCGACAAATCGCCCACCCATCCAAGTGGGAAGCCTCGACCTCGCGCAAAAAAGAATGCGAGCGACAAATCGCCCACCCATCCAAGTGGGAAGCCTCGACCTCGCGCAAAAAAGAATGCGAGCGAATCGCCCACCCATCCAAGTGGGAAGCCTCGATCTCGCGCAAAAAAGAATGCGAGCGACAAATCGCCCACCCATCCAAGTGGGAAGCCTCGACCTCGCGCAAAAAAGAATGCGAGCGACAAATCGCCCACCCATCCAAGTGGGAAGCCTCGACCTCGCGCAAAAAAGAATGCGAGCGACAAATCGCCCACCCATCCAAGTGGGCAGCCTCGATCTCGCAGAAAAAAGAGAAAAAGAAAAAAGAAGACGCGAGCCTCGATCTCGCGGAAAAAAGCAAAAAACACAAACAAAAAGAATCCGCGAGCCAGGCCCGTGGGCCTTCGGGGCTCAAGTTGTTGAAGGCTACGAGCTGCAGCAGACCGCAGACGAAGCCCATGGCCGCCCCGCAGTGCTCGATGAATCGGAACTCCCGGTCGCCCAGCCTCCCGAGCCGAAGCCCAGTGCCGAGCCGAAGCAGTGACAGAGTCTACAGAGTCTTCGGCTTATTTTTTGGGGGGGACCAGGACCTGGGTGTCCTGTTTTAGGCATCATTGGAGCACCAAATGGAACGGTTTTCCTCGTGGTTCTCCTTTAAACCCACAAGCAAGAAGGTCACTGCTCGTCGGTTTTGTTGAGTTGGTACCCCTTTTTGGTGGAATGGAAGGGAACAAAGGAGGGTTCCCCGAAATGGTCCAAAAAACGGAAATTGAGGGATCCCTGAAATAGGCAACCGTTTCATCCATTGACTTTTGGTCCAAGATGGTTGTCAAGCAAAAAACCGGTTAAGCCTTATCACATTCCAAAAAAGGCAGGTACCAGAACCACCTGCTAAAATGCGCGGGGATGCGGGGGGTGGTTTTGGGCGCTGCTCAAATGGGTTTGTCAAAATAGGGCCCAAAAAGCAGTTCCTTGTTTCCCGTTCAAAAAAATGTTGGGAGGAAGGGACACCATAAACTGTTGGTGCCACATAGTTGCAAAGCTTTGCATAGCCCTCTCTAGAGCCCACTATGAAACCCGGCAGGACCTTTCACGTGGCCAAAGGTCGCTGTTGGGGACACCCCTTGGGTCAAAAGCGGACCCCGCCCCCGCAAAAGGAACCTCGCTCAAATGGAAGGTGCCTTTGGAAGGGTCCACTTTACTGATTTGCCTAGGGAACTGAACCCTTTTGGCACGGACTCGAGCGCACCTTGAGGCTGCGGGTCAAGAGTAGGGGTTTCAACTCCTTGCATGCATGTTGGTCAATACATGTTTATATGAAACCAACAAATAGACAATAAATACAAAATTAAATAACATAAGCAAATAAATGACTACAAAGGTAGATAGATGAATAAAGAGATACATCATAAAGTCATAATAAACAATTAAATTACACCAGCATAGACCCCAGATAGCAATGATTGCACACCAGCACCTCCACCCCCGAAGAGCGTCCGAAACAGCACCCGGCCGTCAATCGAGCACGCGCGCCATCACTAGCACCTCCAACAGCACCTCCAACAGCACCCCAAACAGCATCCCAAAACAGCACCTGCACCAGCATGCCCCCTGCACCCTGCCGTCAATCTCGCAAAAATGCGCCTGCACCATCGCCCTAAGAGCACTCCAAACAGCACCCCCCCAAACACCCAGCCGCACCCCAAACAGCATCCCAAAACGCCACCTGCACCAGCACCCCAATCTGCATGCCCCCTTGCACCCTACCGTCAAGATGCAAAAATGTGCCTGCACCGTCATCGCGTCAATATCGCAAATTGCGCCCGCACCGTCACCAGCACCTCAAACAGCTCCCCAAACAGCATCCCACAACACCACCAGCACCAGCACCCCAAACTAGATGCAAAAACACCGTCACCCCCAAACAGCACCTGCACCAGCACCCCCAAACTGCATGCCCCCTAGCACCCTACCGTCAATCTTGAAAAGATGCGCCCGCACTGCCATCAGCACCTCAAACAGCACCCCAATCCGCAAAAACCAGCACTCCAAACTGCACGCCCCTTAGCACCAGCCCATCAATCTCGCAAATCACTTCCCCCTCTTTATTAGAAGTTAGAACCCCTATAGCTTTCAGCTATCTGGGGAAAAACAACGAATTTAAGAAATACCACAAAAAACAGGAATAGAAACATGAATAATAATCCAACAAATAAATAAGCAATGCAAACAAATAATTACACCAGCATAGACCCCAGATAGCACACCACGGATACGAACCATGACGCAGCATTATCATGATGATGTAGACCATGATGACACCACAGCCACGAAACAAACGCGCAGACAACGTCCTAGTGAGATCAGCAGCATAATGATGATTTTGAGAGCAATCCGGCAGGAAAAAAGCAAAAACGAGGTCCTGATGAGTTCGACAGCATCATGATGATGCGGACAGCATCATGATGATGCGGACAGCATCATGGTGATGCGAACAGCATCATGCTGATGGTAAAGGCAGCATCATGATGATACCACAGCCACGAACCATCTTGCGACAGCTTAATGAAATTCTGCATCATCCTGATGTTGACACGGTGCCACTACGCCCACACACCATAACGTGGGAACATCATGACGATACACCAGCCACGAACCGTTACACGCGAACAGCATCCACCAGCGCCCCAAACATGCCCCCTAGCACCCGGTACAACCAAAGCAGCATCCACCCGCGCCTCAAACTGCATGCCCCTTAGCACCCGGCCGTCAAGCTCGCAAAGCAGCGCCCACCAGCGCCCCAAACTTCATGCCCCCTAGAACCGGCCGTCAAGCTCGCAAACCAGCGCCCACCAGCACCCCAAACTGCATGCCCCCTAGCACCCGGCCGTCAACATCCACCAGCACCCCAAACTGCATTAGCACCCGGCCGTCAAGCTCGCAAAGCAGCATCCACCAGCACCCCACACTCCTAGCGCCCGGCCGTCAAGCTCGCCAGTACCCTAAACTGCATGCCCCCTAGCACCCGGCCGTCAAGCTCGCAAAGCAGCACCCACCAGCACCCCAAACCGCATGCCCCGTAGCACCCGCAAAGCAGCACCCACCAGCACCCCCAACTGCATAGCGCCCGGCCGTCAAGCTTGCAAAACAGCATCCACCAGCACCCCAAACTGCATGCCCCCTAGCACCCGGCCGTCAAGCTCGCAAAGCAGCACCTACCAGCACCCCAAACTGCATGCCCCCTAGCGCCCGGCCGTCAAGCTCGCAAACCAGCACCCACCAGCACCCCAAACTGCATGCCCCCCCCGGCCGTCAAGCTCGCACACGGCCGCAAAGCAGCACCCACCAGCACCCCAAACTGCATGCCCCCTAGCACCCGGCCGTCAAGCTCGCAAAGCAGCACCCACCAGCGCCCCAAACCGCATGCCCCCTAGCACCCGGCAAGCTCGCAAAGCCCCCTAGCACCCGGCAGTCAAGCTCGCAAAGCAGCATCCACCAGCACCTCAAACTGCATGCCCCCGAGCACCGGGCCGTCAAGCTCGCAAAGCAGCATCCACCAGCACCTCAAACTGCATGCCCTCAGCACCCGGCCGTCAAGCTCGCAAAGCAGCATCCACCAGCACCTCAAACTGCATGCCCCCTAGCACCCGGCCCTCAATCTCGCAAAGCAGCATCCACCAGCACCTCAAACTGCATGCCCCCTAGCACCCGGCCCTCAATCTCGCAAAGCAGCATCCACCAGCGCCCCAAACCGCATGCCCCCTAGCACCCGGCAAGCTCGCAAAGCAGCACCCACCAGCACCCCAAACTGCATGCCTCCTAGCAGCCGGCAGTCAAGCGCACCTCAAACTGCATGCCCCCAAGCACCCGGCCAGCATCCACCAGCACCTCAAACTGCATGCCCCCCAGCACCCGGCCGTCAAGCTCGCAAAGCAGCATCCACCAGCACCTCAAACTGCATGCCCCCTAGCACCCGACCCTCAATCTCGCAAAGCAGCATCCACCACACCTCAAACTGCACGCCCCCTAGCACCCGGCCCTCAATCTCGCAAAGCAGCATCCACCAGCACCTCAAACTGCATGCCCCCTAGCACCCGGCCGTCAAGCTCGACAAAGCAGCATCCACCAGCACCTCAAACTGCATGCCCCCTAGCACCCGGCCCTCAATCTCGCAAATCACTTTCCCCTCTTTATTAGAAGTTAGAACCCCTATAGCTTTCAGCTATCTGGGGAAAAACCTAAATAACTGATGAATGACTGAATGCATATAGAAATAGCACATATGTTGAAAGGAACAAATAACTTAAATAATGAGAAATAAACAAACAAACAAATGAATAACTAAATGAATAAATAGAATTGATATTTTTACAATCAAACATAAAAAGAAGCAATAAACAAATCAAGCCAAACAGTAAAGTATGAAACAAAACATACTGAAAACACAGAACTAACATGTTGTACACTCTGTCTTAGAAATACAAACATAGAAACAATCAAACACAATAAAAATGAAAAATACCATGTATATATATATATGTTACGCGGAAACCAAACAATCAATAAAAGTGAGATATAAAGCCATAAAGACAACAACTAAAACAAGAAGTTTATCATTTAAACAAAAACAAATAAAGAAACAAACAAAACCAAAACATGTAAAGCAATTGATCAAAGACATGTATACTGTATTTAAGCCAACAAAACATAACATAGCTACGTGAATACGTACATAACTACATGAATAAATGAATGAATGCATGAATGAATGAATGCATGAATGAATGAATGAATGAATGAATGAAAGAATGAATGAATGAATGAATGGATGGATGGATGGATGGATGGATGGATGGATGAATGAATGAATGAATGAATGAAGGAATGGATGGATGGATGGATGAATGATCGATGCAGGTAGCCCGGCTTTGGGCACTTTGAGTTCAGCGGCATCCTGGCGCAGTTTGGGCGTCTGCGCCGCCCCCCTTTTTGGTTTCCTTTTCTACGCATGGACTATGGAGGTTGCCCTACAGTGTGGCACCTTTGCCGCTGCTGCCCTCTTCGGCTGGGCTCGGTACACTGCTGCTTCGGAGTCTCCGTCCAACCTTTCTATAAGGATGTTTGGCGATGACATCCTTACACATCTTGACCAACCCTTGGATGGCTATATCGCTAGGATCCCTTTCGGTCACTAGAGGGATACTACCTTCCAAGCCACGTGCATTGACCATTTTGTTTTGCGAGTACAGCGAGCTGCGAGGATCTTAGAACCTTTGGAGAATCTTTGGGCGCTGGCTATCGAGTCTTGTGGACAGTACAGTCTCTGGCCGAAACCCCTCGTGCTGGTGACCGCTCCCTTTTCGACTGCCATTACCCCCCCCCCCCCTTCCATTTGGGCACGCATTACCCGCTCCGGATGCTGCCTGTCTTGGCTTGCAGTTTTTCTGGATACCTTCTGTATAGTGAATTGTCTTTTGCCGAGATGTTGCACCCATTTCGAAATTTGTTTGATACGACTTGGCTCCACTGTGGCTTGACTGGAACAGCGGCATCGGAAGTGGTAGACCTTGAGCTGGCTTATGCTCGCTCGGTCGGCCTTTTCTGGGTGCTTCGTTGTCTTTCAGATCTGACTGTCCGACCTGCTGACTTGTATTGCTTTTGCAGTTTTTGAGCTGTCCTCCTGGCAATTCGCTGGGAGGCAGCCTGGGCTCGCGCTATGTCTAGGTCACCCGATCGGACGTAGCCGTGCCTGCAGCAATTTGCTGCAAAGTGTACTCAATGAATGAATGAATGAATGAATGAATGAATGAATGAATGAATGAATGAATGAATGAATGAATGAATGAATGAATGAATGAATGAATGAATGAATGAATGAATGAATGAATGAATGAATGAATGAATGAATGAATGAATGAATGAATGAATGAATGAATGAAGGAATGAAGGAATGAAGGAATGAAGGAATGAAGGAATGAAGGAATGAAGGAATGAAGGAATGAAGGAATGAAGGAATGAAGGAAGGAAGGAATGAATGAACCAAGGAAGGAAGGAAGGAAGGAAGGAAGGAAGGAAGGAAGGAACCAAGGAACGAAGGAATGAAGGAATGAAGGAGTGAAGGAATGAAGGAATGAAGGAATGAAGGAATGAAGGAAGGAAGGAAGGAAGGAAGGAATGAATGAACCAAGGAAGGAAGGAAGGAAGGAAGGAACCAAGGAACGAAGGAACGAAGGAATTCAGGAATGAAGGAATGAAGGAATGAAGGAATGAAGGAATGAAGGAATGAAGGAAGGAAGCAATGAAGGAATGAAGGAATGAAGGAAGGAAGGAAGGAATGAATGAATGAATGAATGAATGAATGCATGAGTGAATGAATAGATACACAAATCATACATAGCTTGTGTCTATCAAAACAACAGAGATCAACAAATCCGAAGCACGACAAATAAGTCAACAAACAAAGTAAACACAGTTGTATAAACACATAAGTAACAGATCGCCCTGTTTTCCCGGGGGGATCAAATAAATAAATGAATAAGCAAATGCATCAACAAGTAAATGATAAATACATCGTGGATCAGCCGCCGGCCTCAGGAAAAACTCGTTGAGCAACTCCTTGTTCTCCGTGAAGACCTTCACGATCATCCCGTCGTTGTCGATGCCGTAGGTCTCGTGGCAGAGGTGATCCGTGAAGTTGTTCCACAGCTCGGGGGCCGTCTCCTCCGATTTGCAACCGGGGCTTACTGCGGAGGTCCGGTTTTAGCGGGGCTCCTTAAAAGATACACGTTGCAACCAGCTGAAACATGTTGCTTTTTCAACACCAAAATAGAGGGAAACCACCATTTACAAGGCACTGTTCAGGTTAAGGGGCCATACTGTGGATTGACGAAATCCATCTCGCACCACCGAATTGAAACCATAGGATGACTCGGTTCTGTGTATGGTCTCTTCCGATTGCAACCAGGGGCTGTGGAGTGGATGGACGAAATCCATTTCGCACCACCGAATTGAACATCCAGGGTTTTGTAGGTGCACCACTGCAGGATTTTGTCCATCCACAGCAATGTCTAAGGCCTAAGGGCGCATACCCCAAATGGTTGTGGCTTTAACAGGTTGCAACCGGAAGCTAGGACTGTCTAAGGTCCTCAGATGGGCGTACCCTCCATGAACTGTGTGAAGACGTGTGTGTTTGGGGTATGCAAATAGGATTCTGGTGACTGAAGTGTCTAAAAGACCTGGATTGACACGGCAAGGGTTGCAGCCATAGGTCTCCATTTAGGGGAAATAGATGACCCTGGTGGATGATTAAACCACCAGGTAAACCAGGGCCATCCATTTCTCTACCAAAACAACTAAAAAGGACACCTATGACTGAGTCATCTTGTGAGGTCTTGAATCTCAGCCGTTTGGCACGCAACGGAAAGCCGAACGGGTGTGTCTTCTGCTCTCCTTTTGGGCTTCCCTTTAAAGCCGCCAAGAAACCATTCGAATGTTTGACTCGCATTGACATCTCGTTCCGAAGCAAAAGGGTGCCTTCCTCGCTCAAATGCCAGACGGGATCCCTGATTCCTACCCACAAGCAATGTCACAAGCATAGGTGTGCTTTTAGGGAAAATAGATGGCCCTGGTGGATAAACCACCAGGTAAACCAGGGCTATCTATTTTTTCTACCAAAACAACTACAAAGGACACCTATGAGCTTGATGCCTAAACAGCCGCAAGGGCAGGAGGGCCTGTCTGATGTGATTGCCTCTGTTGCGGCTGACGCGGCAACCGGGCACAAAGAACCCAAGCACCTGCCAAGAGAACCTTTGATGCCCATCATATGCTGGTTGTCTGGTCAAAAAGCTTGTTACAAGACGCATGTTTCAGCCATAGTTGCATCCCCTCTGTTTTATTTTGTTTGTTCTTTTCGAGGGGCGGAAGGAGAGACATTGGTTTTCCATGAGCAGCTCTATTTGGATGCTTGGTTCCAACCACGCTGGAACCAGATGGTCCATCAAAACGCACCAGTGGGGCTGGGGGGGGGTGACTTTCGGGGGAAGCAAACCCATTAGGGGGTGTATTAATCCAGCCAGCGGTTCAAACGCCAACCCCACACCCCCAACACTGGCGGTGGATGATTGACCAACCAAAACAAAAAGTCCCGCACAAGGGTTCGGGGGCGGGGGGGAAAAACCGAAAGTTCAGGCTCTGAAACCCGGTTGCCATATAGCAAGGCTGCGGCCGACATCGCAGAACCGTCCTGCATAGCTAAAAGGAGGCGACGAGGAAAACGGAACCATGAGCCACAAGGTTTGAAGTCAGGCGTCATGGACCTACGCATCACCTTCGAACACCTCAAAGAGAAACTCAGTCGACATTGACTCTTGCAAATGTTTCAAGCCACCTGAAAAGGAAGTCTGCTGGAAATCCAAACGAAACCCAATGGGTGCCCGCACAGGGAGAAAAACTCATGTAACAAACCCCAAACAAGGACTGAAGAAATCGCGAGTGTCCTTTCAGTCCATTCGAAGCCAACATAAAAATTGGGTACACCAAAGAAAACACGCAAGGACTTTCCAAACCAATACTAATTTTCCCAGATGGTTGGTTCTATCTGGGTGTGTCTTCTTTGGAATCGGACCCCCAAATTGGTGGCTTTCCTCATGGTTCTCCTTCAAAGCTATAAACAAGGGGGGTCACTGGATCTCCCCTTGAAAAAATGCAATTTACTGGTGGTGTCCATTGAAACTGCCTCTGTTTGGAGGTTCCAACCAGGAAAACGCAGGACACCCGAAAAAAAGACGCGCCACCCGGATCTGGGTGTCCCTCTTGGCCGGTTCAACGCGCAGTGGATGGCTCCTGGATCTGGTCCAAGGCTTGATCTGTGAGCCGACTTCGCATGGACGCAGGCATCCGGTAGTCCGTGCGCGGGTAGTACTTCCTGGGTGTTTTGTATTTTTTGTGTGTGTTTTTCCCCAGCAGCTGAAAGCTACTGTGGATGGGCGAAATCCATTTCGCACTAGTTACTTTGAAACCAGGGTTGAAACCATCGTTTGTTGGTATTTGCAGAAACCAGTTTCTTGGGTGTTTTTTGCTACCAATAGCGTTTCTTTGCTCTTGCTTAGAGGTGTTTTTGCAGTGCGTTTGATGTCAGTTCGTTTTCTAGTTCATGAATCGACAGTATGGGGCATCTGCCCAAACAGGCTTTGGGGTCGTTTGGGGGGCAGCTTCCAGGAAGGGTTGTGGAGGGTTCAGGCTGTTTTGGCCCAAAAGGCTGGCAACGGGCAGTCCCTGTGATGTGGGGTACCTGAAACTGGGGAGGGGGGGGTTCAATGCGGACGATGCTGGGGATGCGGAAAAAGCTGAAAAGCCCAAAAAGGTGTCAGCCCGTTCCCCCCTTACCTGATTTTCGCGCTTCTTGGTGAGGCGATTTTAGGGGGGTCCTGTGATTACAGCGGGGTCCTCCGGATTCATCCGGCCTTCGGGCCAACGCGTCGTCGGTCGAGCCAACGCTTCTCCCCGCGAACCGCGAACTCGTTTACTCGAACGAGTTTGATCTATTCAGATCCTACACTCACATGAGAATTGCCCCCAAAGCGACATGAAACCGTTCCCATTCGAGGAGGTCAAAATAGGGGACCTCAAAAATGATGGTGTGTTCCCTTTAAACCAACTTGAAAGGGATGCCGTTGCATGAGACCCAGACTACTTCCAAGGAGTCAGGTCTCGGTTAGGCCCAAATTGTGCGCTAATGATCACACCTAGTTATCCCTGGAGCTATCGGTCCCTCAAAAACTCGAAATAATATAATAAAAAGGTCTGACTCCATCATTCATATCATCCTTTTGAAAGCCAGCGTTGGTCAGCTTCCATGTTAATTGGAACCCCGAATTAATCAACCGCTGATTGATTTTCATCGGGAGGTGTTGCCTTTTAGTGGGGGTTCATCACTTTTGGAGGGAACACCCACCCTAATAGGAGGGCTTCTATTTCGATCCGGGGTCAACATTACTGGATCCTTACAGTTCCTCACGGAGCCTTAGGGACCCCGACCCCTACAGTTCTTCACGGACCCTTGGACCCCACCCCGCCCCCTAGAAACTCCATCAATGCTGAAAGCCACCCACCCCCCCTCCCCTAGGGACTCCATAAATGCTACTCCCCTCGTTGACCGAAAGCCACGGCCTGGAAGCGAAACCCGACACCGAGGGGCTTCAGCACGTGGGCCATGGCCCCGTCGATGACTTGCCGCAGCTCCTGCCGCGTCTCCCGCATCAACTTCCGCGAGTCCACGCGGCCCAGCCAGTCCCGCGGCCCCTCGGCGAGTCGAGCCGAGTCGCTTGGAAAAGGGGGGGGGGCGGGGCGGGGGGCTGGGTGGTGCTTGGCAGCTTGGCTTCAGGAAAAGAAAAACAAGGTCCTCCTCCGAGACTAGTCTATTTTGAGGTGGAGGAGCCTATTACTTGAGCCTCTTGCCCGGCAGAATATGGTGGATGTCCAAAACATGGCATCTGTTGGCAGGGAAACATTGGAAACTCTTTCCATGTGCCTCAAAGCAAAAACAAAAGGAGTCTTATATTTAGCTTGTGAAGTTCGAACCGCCCGAATTGCAGCAAGATCACTTGAAACCTCGCCTGAACATGGGGGGCGTATAACATCGGGGTTTCCATTCATGGGTGCAGCTTCAAAACTCAGCTTGAGCGGGTCCTAGTACAGGAGTGGAGGCGCCCGAGCCCATCAAGCCCAGAAGGGCACCTTGGAAAAAGAGCCCACTCTTTTGCCCAAATGGCGTTGCAGGCAAAGAACTTCCGATTCATAAAGGATGTCTCTCTCAAAGGACTACCTGGATTGCCACTTGCTGCTTTCTGTTTCCCAGCGACTGAGACTGATGTCAGGCAAAGTGTCTGGAAAAAAACAGCAACTTGGCCATCTAGGTAGGTCCCTTTCCCAATGACCAGGATTTCCCCTTTCCCTGCATAATACCACCTAGAATGGCAAGGGTTTCTAGCAAGTGTCCCTATACCACCGAAAATGGCAAGAGTTCTACCAAGTGTCCCTGAAACTACCACAAGGTTTGGCTCGCAATTCGATACTCCGACTTCCGACTTCCTTCAGCGCGAAGGAGTCGAGTGGTCGAGTCGGATCCCGTCGGTCCCTTGCCTCTAAGTAGGGCCGCGCGCATTTGTAGGACATCCTGGCCATCTTCTCGCACTTCCTGGGGACCAGGCCCTGCACAGCGAGAGCTCCAAAATGTTCGGTCGCGGCGAGACGCTCGGTGAGAACCCTTTAAGGTTCTCGCCCACTGATGAGTGGGGTTAACCTTATGACGGGGGAAAAAAAACACGATCACCACTTGCTGACTTGGCGAATCGAACATCCCAAGCACCTTCCATGTCCATTCGCTTCCGTCAAAAACAAAATGGGTTTTCGTAGCACAAACAAATTGTGGTTTCCAAGGAAGAATGCGGAATCAACCAGGGAAAGTTGCTGGGCAAACCCAACACGTGCTGCAGTTCAAGAGTTGGGCAAAAGGGGGCCCCAAAGTGAGGGGGCTTCAACTTTTGGTTACCCTTTAAAAGGAAACTTAAAAAGGGTAAGCCATTTTGAGAAGCCTATGCAACTAGGAGGTGGAAGAAAAGTTGTTCCCTTTGAAAACCTATCCAAGAAGCCCAGCCCCACTTTCAGCCAGCAGAACGAAGCGCGGGTGCCACAAGTATCCTAGGGGAGCACCCAGCTCCACTGCGCTACCATCTTTCTTTTCACGGGGAAACAGGGGAACAATGGAATTCCTCATTTTTATTTTTTTGCGGGAAAACTGGATTTCACCTGAATTCCATTTTCATGAGGCAATGCCAGCCAAAACTGGGCTGTCCGTGTTCAGATCCCTTGCTAAAAGTCGAAAGCGTGACTTCCTGATCGGGTGCCGGGTGTGCGTCCCAACTAGGTGCACTCGGTGCGTACTCGGTGCACTCGGTGCGTACTCGGTGCACTCGGCGCGTACCCTGTGCACTCGGTGCGTACTCGGTGCACTCAGTGCGTACTCGGTGCAAGTGCGCGCTCGGTGCACTCGGCCCGTGCTCGGCGCGTAGCCGGGTACGCGCCGGGCCGCCGAAACTGGAAAAGATGTAAAACATGTGAAAGTGAAGCGCCCTGCTGCACTGTAACAAAAACATGTAGTAACATAAGTTGATACAAACAAAAAGGACCCCTGCTAAGTGAATTCAATTGCATGATGAAATCATTGCAAAATCAGCGGCAGAACACCTTGGGCCAGTCTTTTTTAGGCTAGCCCAGGTTGGGAGCATGTAGTTGGTCAAGGGTAGGGGGTCTTTAGGCTATCGCGGCTCGGGGAGATTCAACTCAACAAAGGTGGGGGATCTTTAGGCTGCCCTGGCGCAGTTCAGGAGCATTTAGTTGATCAAAGGTAGGGTCTTTAGGCGAGCGCGGTCGGGGGCATTAACTAGAATTGATCAAAGGTAGGACGCCTTTTAGGCTAGCGCCGCTAGCGCGGCTCGGGGGCATGTAGTTGATCAAAGTTGGGGGGTCTTTGGGCCTGCGCGGCTTGGGGGAATTTAGCCGAGCAAAGTAGGAGGTCTTTTGGCTTGCGCGGCCCGACGCGCATTCAGTCGATCAAACGTTGGGGGTCTTTAGGCTAGCGTGGCTCGGGGGCGTTTAGTTGATCAAGCGTTTGGGGTCTTTAGGCTAGCGCGGCTCGGGGAAATTTAGCCGAGCAAAGCAGGAGGTCTTTAGGCTTGCGCGGCTCGAGGCTCATTTAGTTGATCAAGGGTAGGGGGTCTTTAGGCGGACGCCTTTTGGGCTAGCGCGGCTTGGGGGCATGTAGTTGATCAAAGGTGGGAGGTCTTTAGGCTGGCGCGGCTCGGGGGAATTCAGCCGAGCAAAGTAGGAGGTCTTTAGGCTTGCGCGGCTCGAGGCGTGACTCGGGGGCGTTTAGTTGATCAAACATTTGGGGTCTTTAGGCCAGCGCGGCTCGGGGGAATAAAGCTGAGCAAAGTAAGAGATCTGAAGGCTTGCGCGGCTCGAGGCTGATTTAGTTGATCAAAGGTATGGGGTCTTTAGGTTGGCGCGGCTCGGGGGAATTTAGCCGAGCAAAGTGGGGGGTCTTTAGGCTTGCGCGGCTCGAGGCGCATTCAGTTGATCAAAGATAGGAAGTCTTTGGGCTAGCGTGGCTCGGGGGCGTTTAATTGATCAAACATTTGGGGTCTTTAGGCCAGCGCGGCTCGGGGGAATAAAGCTGAGCAAAATCTGAAGGCTTGCGTGGCTCGAGGCTGATTTAGTTGATCAAAGGTAAGGGGTCTTTAGGTTGGCGCGGCTCGGGGGAATTTAGCCGAGCAAAGTGGGGGGTCTGTAGGCTAGCGCGGCTCGGGGGCGGGTCTTTAGGCTGGCGCGGCGCGGGAGCATTGAATTGATCAAATGTGGGCTGTCTTTTGGCTAGCGCGGCTCAGGGGCTTTAGCCGAGCAAAGTAGGACGCCTTTTTGGCGAGCGCGGCTTGGGGGCATGTAGTTGGTAGGGGTCTTTAGGCTTGCGCGGCTTGAGGCGCATTTGCTAGCGCTGTCAAATGACCCTCAAAAAGCCCCCCGCCTAGCAAGCCAAGAAAAGCATGCGACAGCACAGGCCGGCACTCTGCGCGAAGAGTGGCTAGCCTTGGGAAGGCTTGGGCGAGACTTGATCAAAACAGGCTGAGAATCTGCATAAGCTTGGTACATGCAAAACAGAGCGCTCGCCCGTCCCGAGAGCGAGTCCAACACCCATGTAGTTCTTTCAGCAGAGGCCCCCTCGACGCAGCGCGTACATAGGACGCCTTTGACGACCTGTTTGTTCCGCCTGCCAAATCCTTCCGGCAGGTAGGGCTGAGATACTTTGAGGGCGGGGCCGGTGCTGCTCCGGGCGGTGGAGCGCCACAACGGATCTACACGCATTGCAAACGTTGCCTCGCACAACAAACAACAGTACGAGGCCGCCAATAGAACCCAGAAAACACCTCGGGCTCAAACAGCTTCAACTCAAACATATGGCAAACAAAAACATGCTGGAAAATACTCGCGCAAGAACAAACAACGATCAAACAGAGAAGCGCACCCGATAAGGCCCAGACCTCCGCCTGAGCCTTCCAAGCCGTGCGCAAATCCACCGCAGAAAAAGCCCATGCCACACAGCGCAGCTGACACGGCTGAGGGTCTGCCAGCTCAGGCGATGCTGGCTGGGGCGGTCGTCCCAGTCCCACCCTGCCAAGTGAAGTGGCAAAGTGGCAATGCGAAAAAGGCGCACATCCACACTTTGGCGCCTTGGCCATCGAATGTCGCAAAGAACGCCGTGTCCGCGTTGGCTGGGGGAGTCTGTGAGTGTGTACGTGTGTCAGCGTCTCAGTGGGTAAGTGACTTAGTGTGTGCGTGTGTGTGCGCAAGTGCCTGAGTGTGTACGTGTCTCAGCGTGTAAGTGGGTAAGTGACTTTGAGTGCATTTGCGCAAGTGCGTGAGTGTGATCGTGTCTCAGCGAGTAGTAAGTGGGTGAGTGACTTAGTGTGCATGTGCGTAAGTGTGTGAGTGTGTACGTGTCTCAGCGTGTAAGAGGGTAAGTGACTTAGTGTGTATGTGACAGTGCGAAAGTATGTGAGTGTGTACGTGTCTCAGCGTGTAAGTACGTAAGTGACTTAGTGTGCATGTGCTCAAGTGCGTGAGTGTGCGCGTGTCTCAGCGTGTAAGTGGGTAAGTGACTTAGCGTGCATTTGCGCAAGTGCGTGAGTGTGATCGTGTCTCAGCGTGTAAGTGGGTAAGTGGCTTAGGAACTAGGGTGTATGTGCGTAAGTGCCTGCATGAGTGCGCTGTGTCTCAGCGTGTAAGTGGGTAAGTGACTTGGTGTGTATGTGCGTATGTGCATGAGTGTGTACGTGTCTCAGCAGGTAAGTGGGTAAGTGACTGGGTGTGTTTGCGCATAAGTGCTTGAGTGTGGGTGTGTGTGTGTGTGTGCGTGTCTCAGCGCGTAAGTGGGTATGTAGCTTAGTGTGTATGTAGTTGCGTGCGTGTGTGTGTGTGTGTACGTGTCTTAGCGTGTAAGTAGGTACGTGACTTAGTGTGTATTTGCCTAAGTGCGCGAGTGTGAACCTGTCTCACCGCGCCTGCATGAGTGTGCACGTGTCTCAGCGCGTAAGTGGGTAAGTGACTTAGTGTGTATGTGCGAAAGTACGTGAGTGTGCACGTGTCTCAGCGTGTAAGTAGGTAAGTGACTTAGAGTGCATGTGCTCAAGTGCGTGAGTGTGTGCGTGTCTCAGCGTGTAAGTAAGTAAGTGACTTAGCGTGCATGTGCTCAAGTGCGTGAGTGTGTGCATGTCTCAGCGTGTAAGTAGGTACGTGACGTAGCGTGGATGTGCTCAAGTGCCTGAGTGTGTGCATGTCTCAGCGTGAAAGTGGGTAAGTGACTTGGCACGCACTTGCGTAAGTGCGTGAGTGTGATCGTGTCTCAGCGTGAAAGTGGGTAAGTAAGTGCGTGAGCGGGTACTTGCCGGGTACGCCGGGCGCGCACCAGGTACGCGCCGGGTACGCGGCGGGTGCGGGGTGGGTACGCGCCGGGTCGCCCTCGGTGCGTACTCAGCGCGTACTACAGTACTGGCGGGTGGGTGACCTGGGCTGTTTGACCGCAACTTTTTGGACCACGCGCGAAAGTGGCAGGCAGGAGTTTTGGTAATTGCTTAATTCCTACTTCAAGTACTGGATATCGCTACAGCGAAGTTGCCAGCGCGGATCTGAGACGGCGCTGCTCGAAAGGCAGCAGGGTGTTCCAGGATGCCAGGGCTTGCCAGTCTGACGCGCTGAGCTCATTGACATGCAGCGCACCTAGCGCAGCAATCTCCCTGGCCAGTTGCTTTACCTTTGGCAAAGGCAAGTTGGCCTTGGCGGCCAAAGTGCCCATCCCTGCCAAATCCGCTGTGTCCTGGTCTGCACGCTCTTGCGGTAGAGTTGTAGCCAGTGAAGTCATCAGCGCCTGCTTGGCATCGAACTCAGCTGCTCCATCTTGAATCCAGCCGCACATGCACCTTGCGCATGGCGCTGTGTCCTTCAAGTTTTCGATCTGGGCGACGCAGTGAAAGAGCAGCAGCCGGCTCTTCATATGCCGGATGTCTTCCTCGTCCACGCCAGGCATCGGCGTCCATAAGGACTCTGCCTTTGCCGTGAGAACGCAGCCATGACGCCACTCAAAGTCAACGTTGCCCTCA